TCAAATAAATAAATAAAAATCTTTAAAAAAAAAAAAAAATTTGCCAGTTGTCCACACATGTCCAAAAAAACTGATTCAGATCCAATCCTGGATCATACACTTAGCTACACACTTTAGACACATGATTTTGTTAACTTTTTAAAGACTAATTTAAACTTAATAAATCCAGAGGGAATAGTGCCCAGTAATTTTATCCTACAAAATTTTTCAGTTTATTTACATGCACTATTATGGTGGTCTTACATGTTAAAAAAAAAAAAAAGACAGAGGCTTACTTATACTATTTCAGCATATGAAGCATAGTAAATGCTTTCTCACCAATAATGAGGCTCACAAGACTAAGCTGTACTCCTGTTGGCTGTGTTTATTCCCATTTCTCATTTAACCATCAGCACCTTGAGAGCAAAAGCCTCACTCATCTTTGTATTCCCCGTAATGTATACAAAACTCTGACGTCTGGAAGGCGTTTCAACAGGACAGGACAGAGAGAACAGGGCTATCTTTTCAGGTTAAACTCTCCATTAAGATTCCCCATGAAAGAAAAGCACACTGCACATTAAAATGATTAGAGAATGACAGTGCCTGAATGTGAAACAATATCCTTAACTGCAGTGTTAACTATTTAGGACAAAGAAAAATAATCCCACACTTCACACCTCCGCTATTAACCTCTGGACTGTGAGTTCTTGGTCCAAGTCCCTTTCACAAGCTCGTACGCTGCTGCCGTATTCCATTGATTGTGAGACACATACTCACCGTTCACGTTTCAGCCACTCTGATATTAGCGACAGCTTCTGACTCTTGCTGTGAGCTGGGTGGCAGTCACAACAGAGTTCATGACACTGTCTATGTAAGATGGAGAAAGCAATAGCATCGAAACACGCAGAACAAGTGTCGGCAGCTCAGGAGAAACTACGGAGTCTAAAGAAAAGCACTCTCGTAAGAAATGCAACATCTTAATGGCACCGAGGGTGAGAGCGTGTGGAAATACACTGACAGGGACAATTCAGAGTCAGAAAGTGAGTCACACCTGGGCTCTGAATACGTTTCAAAAATATCACGACCAATTCATTTCACTTCAGTTTTCCTTTTTAATCTATGTTCTTGCAATAAACATAAACCGAACATGCTAATGGAGAAGAAAGCATTGTATTAGCTTAATTGTCAAGGTTATTTCTTGGTGGAACATGATATAATGGTGTATCGTACAATTCATGGTATCCTTCAATTCAAGGAATCACAGTACTTCAAGCACAGAGGAGAAGGCTGGGCTACGTTCTTGAACATCTCCTTCAGAAACAGACCATGGCCAAGCTGGAAACCCAAAGGACAGTACACCCACCGGCTTTCACTTCTCCAGGAACTAACGAGGTTCTTGCAGGCCAGTGGCAACATTCAAGCGGCCACTTCTTGAGGCTGCATTTCAGAAGGCAGTAATATCTATCTCCATTATAACATGCTCCCGGCTCACAACAAGGCCGGCAAACCGCAGGGCGGGGGGACATAAGACACACATGCCCCCCCACAAAGCAAAACACAGCTGCTATGTTAAATTAACATCCACCAACCTTGACAGTACCCTTCTAATTACTATTTTTCCCTAATTCTCTAAAGTGACTTTTTTAAACCTAGAAGATGCCAATAGCATTTTCGTCATTGTTGGCCGAGTTACTCTGAGCATCACATCCAAATAATGAAATATAAATAATTTTTAAAGTAGGAGATCTTTTAAAATACATATTCTTGGGGTGCCTGGGTGGCTCAGTTGGTTAAGTGCCTGCCTTCGGCAGGTCATGATCCCAGGGTCCTGGGATCGATTCCTGCATCGGGCTCTCCGCTCTCTGCGGAGAGCCCGTTTCTCGCTCTCCCCCTGCTCTTCTCTCCCTGTCAAATAAATAAATAAAATCTTTAAAAAAAAAAATACATATTCTTGTACCTTGATCATTACTATGTATTTTTATCTAACTTTTAAATTTTATATATCAGATCTAGGCATACACACACGTATATGTATGAATGAATTTTCTTTTTTGTTTTTAGAGTTTTTTTGTTCGTTTGTTCCGAGTTTTTACTTAAATTCCAATTAGTTAACATATAGTGCAATATTTGTTTCAGGGGTAGAATTTAGTGATTCATCACTTACATATAACACCCAGTGCTCATCACAAGTGCTTTCGTTAATATGAGTGAATTTTTAGACATATTTCAGACTGCTTGGGAAGAAACTTCAAAAAAAGACAATTTTCATTTATAAATGTTCACAGACATATACATATAAGCTCATAATTACAATGTAACTATATCTAATTATGTAACTATGACTCCAGTGGAGATATACACAGCTGCAAACTCAATCATTTGTTCAAAAAATGTTTCCCCAGGTAACAGTGTCAACACACAAACACAAATGAAAATGGTTCTTATCTATCCAAGGAATCTCAAAGATAAGAGTCCATTCCACCATTTGACAGATAACACTAGAGCCCAGAGAAATAAACAAACTTATCCAGTGTAAAAAAAGGCTAGCTGGTAATAAAGTTGAGATAAAAGTCAGCTCTTCTCATTTTCAATCAGCAAGCCAATAATTTAAATAGTCTCTATTTATTAGATAATATTTGGGGCATTAGGTTCTCCTGAGGTAATTAGTACCCAATTTTTTTTTTAAGATTTTATTTATTTATTTGTCAGAGAGAGAGAGAGAGAACGCACAAGCACGGGGAGCGGCAGAGGGAGAGGGCGAAGCGGGCTCCCCGCTGAGCAGGGAGCCCGATGCGGGGCTCAATCCCAGGACCCCGGAATCATGACCTGAGCCAAAGGCAGACGCTTAACCGACTGAGCCACCCAGGCATCCCAGTACCCAATTTTATAGGTGAGGAGACTGCTGTGACTTGCCCATGGAGATTCAGGACTAACTGATCCCAAAGCCCGAGTAATGTTGCAACACAGCCTTGATGGGCTCTGACCGTCCCTGAGAAATGGCCTGACATGGCATGAAATTAGTTCCATGTACATGTGCTAAATCCTCCCTCCTAGTAGAATGGGGAGAAATGCCATAGTTAATACTCCTGAAAGAGGAAAACAAAAACAAAAGGCCACCACTATCACACTTGGAAAAGTGAATAAACAGAAGCCAACCAAAATTATTTAAACTATTATAAAAGTAAATGTACTTATAAAAATAAATATATAGTAAAACTATTATAAAAGTAAATCCCCTTCACTTCACTGTATAGGCACACCAGCCCTGGGAACAAGAGCAAATGACACAAAAAACATTTGCCTCTGACAAGAGCTTATTCTGCAAGGAGACTTCAGTAACTACAAATTAAAATGTTTTAGGAGGGGTGCCTGGGTGGCTCGATCATTAAGCGTCTGCCTTTGGCTCAGGTCATGATCTCAGGGTCCTGGGATCGAGCCCCGCATCAGGTGCCCTGCTCAGCGAGAAGCCTGCTTCTCCCTCTCCCACTCCCCCTACTTGTGTTCCCTCTCTCGCTGTGTTTCTGTCAAATAAATAAAATCTTAAAAAAAAAAAATGGGGGTGCCTGGGTGGCTTAGGTGGTTAAGCGACTGCCTTCGGCTCAGGTCATGATCCTGGAGCCCCGGGATCGAGTCCCGCATCAGGCTCCCTGCTCGGCAGGGAGTCTGCTTCTCCCTCTGACCCTCCTCCCTCTCATGCTCTCTGTCTCTCATTCTCTGTCTCAAACAAATAAATAAAATCTTAAAAAAAAAAAAAAAAGTTTTTAGGGGTGCCTGGGTGGCTCACTCAGTTAAGCATCCTCAGCTCAGGCCTTGATCTCAGGGTCGTGAGCTCAAGCCCCATACTGGGCTCCACCCTGGGCATGGAGCCTACATACATACATACATAAGAAAAATAAAATACAATGTATAAATGTCCATGCAAATGTATTTGTGGTTGACATGTTATTTTCATAGGTGATGAATACACACACACGTTTGCATGCGCATACACACACACACATACACACTCATTTGTTTATTTGAACCAGACCTACATAGAGACAAGACCTGACCCCAAATGGTGGAATCCAAAGTGAAGCATTGTAAGCCCTCTCACAAGCCAGAAAGAAACCTTGTACAAAGGAGCCGATCTTGACTGCGAGCTACGGGAAGGTGCCAACACCTTAGTGGTGCCAAAGCTTAATGTAAATTCATCATAAAAAAGTGAAATGGCATCTGGGCTTCTGGGTTAACCCAAAAATCCATTATAAGCCTGACGAATTACTCTAAGAACACTATTTTCAGCTGCATCCATTATTTCTTTAGGAAAACGCATTCTGAGTGCCTTTGCCCAATAATGGGGGATTGCCCAACAAACAGTGACTAGCATGCCTCTCCTGCCACTCTCAGGCCTCACAAATTAGAGAAAGCTGAGGTTCAGAGAGGCTGAACACACTGCCCCCAGGTCAGACACACCATAAGGGGCAGAGCTGAAGTCCAGGCTTTAGTCACGTCAGGACTTCAACATCTATCAATATCCATGTTCCTTCCACCAAACCACAGGTGCTGGGCATTCATTTATTTAACAGGTTTCTGAGCAACCTCTTGGGTCACGCACAGGAAGGCTGGGGGCCCTATTTGGAACTAGTGGGAAAAATCTCCTACCAAATCCTGAGTACTCTGGCTTTCTCTGGCCTAGTAAGTCCTCCCACTCATACTTGGAAAGACCTACTGATCCAGCTCTGGACTGAAACACAGGGTAGCACTCAGCTAGTTGCAGGATAAGTGAGGAGAAATCAAATGCAATGCTTTTGCTATTCCAGAGTCTCTGAAGAAACCCTAATAACAATCAGATCCGTGGTGAAGAACCACCTACTGCTACTATTCATGTTAAATCAGGGTCAAGTAGATCATATCAGCCTTCCCCAAAACATTAATCTGAAACATCCCATTTTTTCAGATAGTTGGCAATCACATGAAAAAGAAAACTGCACACATCATAATGGTAAATGTCCTAAATGATTACATTTGGTGATATAGCATCAGGAAATAACTGTTTTATTTAAGTTATTTGATAATGATTCCATTCAAAATTTCTTGTGGGTAGATTGCATGATGAATACCCTTTGGCAATGATCTTGTTCATTTTCCAAGAGGGCTAGATTTTGCATGAATGCGCACACCACAATAGGTGCTCCCTGCTGTTTCATCAACACAGAAACTACTGGTTCCTACAATGAGGGAGGAAAAAGAAAACCACTTTAAACAACTTATCTAAGGGCACATGTTTTATTAATATGTGTGGCTTCATAAATGCTTTAGTATAAAACAGACTGTAAAAATAAAGTACCTATTAATGAGAAATACAAGACTGACAGGCTAAGAAACAAACTATATCTACCTCTCTTATTCTGAAGGTGACAGAAAAATAACACCATTCCTTCTACTACCTCTGCAAATGCTGTATTTCTTTTTATTAAGACAAAGCAATAGGGGTGCCTGGGTGGCTCAGTCGTTAAGTGTCTGCCTTCGGCTCAGGTCATGATCCCAGAGTCCTGGGATCGAGCCCCGCATCGGGCTCCCTGCTCCACGGGAGGCCTGCTTCTCCCTCTCCCACCCCCCCCCCCCACACCGCTTGTGTTCCTGCTTTCACTATCTCTCTCTGTCAAATAAATAAATGAAATCTTTAAAAAAAAAAAAAGGACAAAGCAATGCATTACTCTCTAAGACAAACTTCTTCAAAAACTTGAAAAATAAAAATATACTGTTCAAATATATCCAACAATGTCACTTCACTGATACTAAAATAACTCACAAGAGAATGAGGTCACTGCATAGGCTCATCAGAGTTCCTCTCACACTCCCTTGCATCTCTGACGGGGTACTAAATTCCCAAAGCTCTACTTCACCTACTTTCTACTAAGTTCCAAGTCAAAATTTTATAACAGAATAATAAATATATAATGCAAGTCCCTAAGTGTATATTGTAAACAAGGGAATAGGAAAAAATATGCATTGAAGATACTTTTTAAAAACCTGGTAAGATTCAAAAGCAAAGATAAAATTTCTATACCATAAAATTCACCCATCTAAAGTATACAGGGTCAGAGCTTTTTAGCAGACTTACAAAGTTCTCCAACCATCAGCAGGCATCTCTATCCTCACCACCTGCACCCCCACCACCCCGGCCCTAGGCAACCACTAATTTACTTTCTTTCTCTGGAGATGTGCTTACACTGGACATTTTTCATAAAAATGGAATCATATAATATGTGGATTTTTGCGACTGGCTTCTCTCATTGAACAGAATGTTTCTGAGGTAACAAGTATTTTGAAGAAACTGGCTCATGGGCCCTTCCATTCTTAAGCAGCCTCTCTACAGGTAAGGCAGATGCCAGATGGGTCACAGTGGGACCCGAGGGGCTTTCAGGTATGAATTCTGCCTTCAAGGAGCTTACCGAAGAGTAAAGATGCTAACACAGCTATTGATAAGTAACTTACTTTTTTTGTAGAAATAGTGACTGCCAAGGGAAAAATACAAAGTTATCATGTGTGTTCAGAGAAAGGCAAGGTAAATAGGATCAAGAGAAGTTCTGATAAGGTGACCTTCAAATAAGAGTTGATCATACGTACACACACGAACAGTTAAAATCAAGTTTAGAAACATAGGAATGGAGTCGTTTCCTACAGAAGTAAATCCACACTCCTTAGCTTTATTATTCCATCCATATTTACTCCTTGTACTCTAATCTCCCCACTCGGTGCCTACATTCCAAATAAATATAACTAATTATACTACCCAGAAATCACAAAGCCCTTTGATTCTAACTGCTGCAACCACCATTTCTTCTCCCAAGAAGAGAGAACCGTGCCCCTCCTCCTTCCCATCAGCCCCCACCATCAATTCCATTATGTCTGTTAGGTAGTAAACTCCTATTCATCCTTCAATATTCAGCTCAAATATCACCACCTCTTTCATGATGTCTATCCTGACCTCCCCAGGCAGTTAGTCCTTAATTCTTTATGCTCCATGTGTACCTCCATTATAGCTCATACTGTTGTTCTGCTTGATTCATCTATGAAAGCCCAGCACTCAGTGCAGTGTCTGGCACACAGCCAGGACTCAATAAATGATTGTTGGGACAAGGGAACACAACACCAAGTGAAAGGCAAAGAGGGAGACAGACCGGCAGAGTCACCCTGGAGTGTGTGAAAGGTGGCAGTGAAGTCAGAGCCCTAAATGCTATGTTAACAGAGGGACATTTTTTTTTTTTTTTAAGATTTTATTTATTTATTTGACAGAGAGAGACACAGCGAGAGAGGGAGCACAAGCAGGGGGAGTGGGAGAGGGAGAAGCAGGCTTCCCGCGGAGCAGGGAGCCCGATGCGGGGCTCGATCCCAGGACCCTGGGATCATGACCCGAGCTGAAGGCAGACGCTTAACGACTGAGCCACCCAGGCGCCCCAACAGAGGGACATTTATTGATCACCTGCTATATTTCAGCACCTGTACATTATCTCATTTAGTCTCCATGGCAACCATGTGAAATTAGTCTCTCCCATTTTATCCTGGAGGACACGGAGGTAAGACAAGATCACACAACTAATAAGTGGCAAAAGCTCTTTGAACACTAAACATACAGTGTGCATGTGTGCGCGGGCGCACACACAGACACTTCCATTCAGAGGTAGTTCAGCTACAACCCTTCCATTTCCTATTTGAAGAAACGGGTTCATTTCCTCTGGAATCGCCATCGCACTGCATCAGTGCAGGGCAACAGGTGGTGATCTCAGCCAGCCTCTGCAGCCTCTGGTTAGCCTGGGACAGACCGTACCTCCTGCAGCACAGCGGAAATAATGCTGCAGACTTGAGCACTAGAGAGGCCTCTGTGACAGTTCAACTAAAAGAATTTTACTTGGATGGAGAAGAGGGTAGTTCTCAATCAAAAGATAACATAGCCTTAAAAAGTTTCAGTTCAAAGTCCTGTAAGCAATAATGAAGCAGTAAAAATGAGCAATTTTTTAAAAATGGCTCTTTTTAAAATTTACTCTGTCATTTTTGCAAACATCATTTGGCAAAAAGATGAACATGAACCATGAAACAATGTCTATTTCAATAGACACATAATGTTTAATAAGACAGGAAAAAATTAGAGGGACAATTTATCATTTGCGTGTTTAGCAGGCTTGACAAAAAATTGTTTTTTAATTATACAGTCTATGTTTTCTCAAAGATTTTTTTATTAAAAAACTAATAAAATATGTCAAAGGTCAAAGAATAATCATGAAAAGAGGATTATAACTTCCCATAATCTTACAATAATCACTCTAAAAAGTTTCTAAGAAAGAATATTAAAGCACCTTTTCAGAAAAATTTTATAAAGATGTCACGAAGGCAGTTTATGGGCTCAATCTCATGAGATTCCCAGAGAAGTCACCATGTTACTTTAAAAAATTAAAGAAACACCCTGTGCCCAATGGGTGTCCTGGTTGTCCCACAAAATTAAACTAAAGCTGGGGCGCCTGAGTGGCTCAGTTGGTTAAGCGACTGCCTTCGGCTCAGGTCATGATCCTGGAGTCCCAGGATCGAGTCCCGCATCGGGCTCCCTGCTCGGCGGGGAGTCTGCTTCTCCCTCTGACCCTCCTCCCTCTCATGCTCTCTGTCTCTCATTCTCTCTCTCGCAAATAAATAAATAAAATCTTTAAAAAAAAAAAAAAAAAATTAAACTAAAGCTGCTCGGGTAACATTCTTCTTAACTGAGAAAAGGAAAACAGAGTTGATCAGCGCTATGATGTCCGCAAGTGTGCATGCACACGGTGAGTTAAAGCCATCTCTTCTTGCTAAAAGCACAAGTTTTAAGAAGGGAAATGAATTGAGCACTTTGGAAGTGTTTTTGCTAAAATAATTTGTTTAAATAATTATAAAGACAACATTCAGAATCCACAACTTTGCTGGCTGCATTAATAAAACAATAAAAATGTTTTGGGGGAGTTGTCAATCTTAAACACTGCTTTATATTTTTTTTATTTAAATCAAATCTATCCTGATTATGGTAATTGATTTTGTTATAATTCCTCAGGTCCATCCTCAAAAATGATACACGGCAATCAATATTTATCTTATTTTTCAAAGTAATGAGATGACCGTTACCTCAATAACAAAGACTAATTGCATCAGAAGAATTTAGCATAACTACCAAATAAAATGTAGGGCAAAGCCAATCTGATATAATTATATGCATTATCATTACCATAGTGCATGGCAATAAGGTGAAAATAGGATACCTTGGGTAGACGCCCATATGAGCTCAGCCAAATTCTTAGAAGTTTTTCTTTTATCATTGTTAGTTAATGCTTAGCTATTTGTGTGTGTATGAACACAGAGGCGAGCCAGCTCCTTGGTCTCAGGGTCTTTTCCACACTGGCCTAAGAGGACACAAGCAGTGGGTCTTCCTTCCAATCCCTAAAACCTCAAAGTTCCTGAGCTTCCAGACCCAAAACCCCCAGGCTTCAAAGAGCTGGCCCCAGGGACTTGAGGAAGTCAGCTGAGAGCAGAGAGACCAGCCTTTCTGGAAGACAAGAGTGGAAAGAGTTGAGCCAGAAATGGAAATCCAGTATGGGAACAACTGCCCAGAAAGAAGAGACGGTGAAGTGGAGCTCTACTTTCAAGGGTCCCAGAGTTTTGACAACAGGAAGACTGTAAAGGGGCTTCCTGGAGGAGGCTGCCAGGGCTGAGTAGCTGCTCTGCAAAGTCAGAGGCCTGATGTAAGCAACCTAAAACTCTTATCCTAAAATTTCAGGGCAAAGGGATAAATGTCAGATTAGCTTTGACCCGACAGACAAGGAAAGTGAGCAGGGTACCAGGAACTAAGAGTGGAGGGTCTCAGAGGGGAAAAATCCCAACCTTCTTCAGCCCGCCCCAAAACTTGGTAAAAATCTATGCAGATTATTTCTTTTCTAAACTAAATTAATAACTAGGAGTGGGACACAAAACTCCACATCAACGTTTCCAAATCAGGGCCCTACTCTGCAGCCACTACCTCCACAAACTGTGCTTTTCACAAGATGGTGCTCAAGAAAGTTCTCTCTTACAACTGGATCCACTGGGTTTTCTATGGTTAACACCTAGAACTGGCAAAGCTTTGTATGGCCACCACCCTGGGCCTGGTGAAGACCCTCACACCCACACCCAGCGAACAAGCTTAAGAGAAAGATCGCCTTTCCGCCTTGCGTCTAGCTGACACATGCACATGTACATACCAGGCTTCATGACCTGACTGGCTTTAGCTAATACGTTCCCTAAACATGTATTATAATTCGTCACCGTGGTTGGGAGTCCACAAGATGAGGAACAAACGTCCTCTGACCTCAAAGGCTCACAGTCTAGAAGAAAAGACAGACAACTAAACCAGTAGTTACAATAGAATGAAGCATATACTGTAACAAGGATCAGTACTGTAGACTTAGTGATACAAGAACAGGAGATCCTTCAAAAAGGTATCAACTTGGGAAGTCGGCCCTGAGATGATGGAAAAATGGCTCTTGAAGAAAGAGAAATCTCCTTAGCCCTCTAAGACTTGTTTTTATCCAAGTTTTCCTAATCGTCTCACCTCAACAGGTCGATGCTCACCCATAGCAAAGATACACCTCTAACTGCTTTCACCTCAGCAGACAGGTCGCCACCAAGGCAGGGGAATACAGAAAGAAGTACCACAGAAGGAGGTCCCGAGAGGACCCACGAGTGAAGACAAGCTGTGGTATCTGAGGGACAGGGCTGAGTAAATGGGCAAGTGCAGCACTATGGGACCAGCGCTGGGACAGGGGAAGCACACGCAGGGTGCCGTGGGGCCATGCAGGAGGGGCACCTAACCCAGACCTGGAGTCAAGAAATACTTCCTGGGGTACATGATTTCCAGGCAGCCATGTGAACAAGGAGAGATGGCCAGATAGAAGACAAGTAGGTGAGGTGGGGCTGGGGCTGGGGAAGACAGCTGGAGGAACAGTGCTCACACAGAAATTCACACATTGTCAAAAACCCAAAAGGGACATGTTCAAGGACACTCAAGAACTTCAGTAGGACTAGACAAGAGCTTGACATGAGACAGGTGGGTCTGGGAGATGAGGGAGGAGATAAAGCAGCACAGAGATTGCGCAGGACCTGCTGGCTACGTAGAAGAAATTTAGGCCAGCCTAGGGGAAGTGGAACCTCTCAAGCAGTACGCAGGAGAATGGCATGATTGGTTCTACATTTTGCCAGTGAGAAGAGACTGGGAACCGCAAGGCTGAAAGCCAGGACCCCAAGCAAGATAGTGTTAGAACATGGCAGGAGGGAGGTTGGCAGCCACTAGGTCAGTGACACCAGGATGGTAGAAACTGTATAACTTGCAACCATAAGAAGGGAAATGCGGAGCAAAGCTCTGCTGCTACTCAGCAAGTACACAGCGAGGCTGGTGGGTGTCCCCTGTAGGACTACAGCCACAAGGGGTGGAGACCAGCCAATAAATAAGAGCAAGGGAGCATGAAGTGAGGAGCAGATTGCGGCACTGGCCTATGTGACAAAGGAACTGAATCCTGCCAACAAAGTCACCAAACACTCTCTGCAGCATCTGCAGCATCTACCTCCCCATCACACAATCCGCGAGATGTTCTGACTACCTTCTGCCTTTAAGTAAGGAGATATTACTTTTACTCCCCTCTAATTTCAAGCTGCAATCATCTGGTGCTGGCTAATTAAAACCCATATTCCCATTAAGCACTCAGGGGAACCAGGGCATGCAGAACCAGAATATTGTCTTAAGCGTGCCACAGCAATCCTGTGAAAGAAGTCTGAAGAGCCTCGCTATAATGACCCACATGAGTTCCCAACGCTTTTCAAGAAACACTCAAGCAAGGTCACAGCTGTCAACAAAGTCAAGCAGGCCTGGGGGCAGAACAGGTTGAAAAGGGAACTTAAAAGCACTTATTGCTCCCTGGTAGCCCTGATTTGGCCTAATATAGAGTACTGTACATGTAATTCTGAATAAACCAGGGAGACAGGAAAGAGTAGAGGGAAGAACTGAAATGCTGGGTCACACCTTACTTTTAAAATGTTTTTTACAAAGGAAAACATCATCAACAACAATAACCTACTATTTGGTTGACAGCTAGAAGGGTCAATGGATTGATTTTGAATACCTCAGCTTTCAGTAGAAAAATGTACATCTGAAACTCTCCTGGGCAATTTATTTTACAAGATCTGGGCCATCCAGATGATGCCTTCGAAGTCTATCAAATTCTAAGAAAGGCAAAAATACTGTTAATCAAGTGTTTATTTTACAACTGGCATATTAAATTTAAATCAAAGGTAGTATATTTAGGTATTGTATGTCCTTCACTTTATAATCCGTTAGAGCTGCTTATATAAACACTACCTGATATTTTATTTTATAACTCTTGAAGCATGATTATAAAATTTATACTTTAGAGTTCTTTTCTCTTTGTGGTTTATGATATATCATTAGTGATAGCTATGATTTATTTGATTGTTATGCCCAATAACAACACTTGTTCTATGAGAAAACACAATCCACTGTCCTATGATTCACTTCAGCGTCAAAATCTATGGCAGCAAAAAGTGGAGCGTTTCTTAAATACAGCTTTTCTCTTTATTACCCTGTGGTCGCTGACGTTCCTTCCTTCCAGCTCCTGACTACAGTGACCCCATGGCGTTACTATATTTCTAATGTGCAGCGTGCAATGCACCCAACAAAATAGCTTCTTCTTTCTAGTAAGTGAGGAACAAGTAAGGAATTTCTGGCCCACTTGATTTCATACCCCTTGGAAGCCCTAATGCAAATATGCTACACCAGTCACAGGGCAGGGGCCTCCAAAGATTTCACAAAAAGCAGCTCAGCCAGTGGTCAATCTAATTAACTCAGAAACCAAAGGGCAGAAGTCCTAAGTCACAAAAAACTACTGGAAGGCATGACTCAGTGACATTTCAGAACCTACTAAGCATCTCTCTCTAATTCCCTTCCTCTACTGCTGGAGCTTTTTCTTTTCTGCATGACTCCCCTTTCACCATCCCAAAATACCATGGAATGTAAGCTATACTGTCAATGATTTTTTTGTTCCATTTTTAAGATGGAACCATTGCTCTCAATTTTAAAATAAAGTGGGTTTAAATTTGTGCTGGTTTCTCAAAAATAAGCACAACACAAGAGTGACAAATCAAGGGACACAAGGGAAGGTGCCCTAGACCAGAGGGAGCAAGGACTGAAGTTCAAGTCCAGGACCACCACTAACCAGCCCTGTGGCCTCAGGCACCAGATCCACCCACAGTCCTTCTTCCTCTTCCATCCCCACCATGCATGGCAGTCGTCCCTATCTCTGATTTCCAATGCATCCTGTACTTTATCCAAGAACCCATTTGCTTTGTTTCACCTGCCCTGCTCAGAAATCGTCTGTCGTGCCCTACACTGCCCCAAGCAGCTGAGGGCAACTTTGTGTTTTTTTCATTTTATTTTTTTTGCCATAGGGCCAATTAAGGGCAAATAAAAATGCTTACGGGCTGCTTATCCTTTCACGAAAATGAAAATTTTATTTAGTACTCTAGTAGAAAACATATATTCTTACAATTTAGATTTGTTAAATATAAAAATATCAATGAGAAAATCACTACATTTTTAGCCATAAAAGCCTTATTAATATCTGAGTATAAGTGAAAAGTAGCAACGAATGCAACTTTCTATACTTGCATCCTAAGATTAAATGCAAGTGCTCAGGGGGCGCCTGGGTGGCTCAGACGGTTAAGCGTCTGCCTTCGGCTCAGGTCATGATCTCAGGGTCCTGGGATCGAGTCCCGCATCGGGCTCCCTGCTCCTTGGGAGCCTGCTTCTCCCTCTGCCTCTCTCTCTGTCTCTCATGAATGAATAAATAAAATCTTTAAAAATATAAAAAAAATAAAATAAATGCAAGTGCTCAGGAGCCACTTGGCCCTATGGGATAAAAGGAAACTCCTTAACTTCCCCAACCTTCCTCACATGAGACCCCTACATGTACCCTTCATCCACATTATTCAGGTCTGTGTACCGATACCACTGAACACCTTCAACACAAACACCCCCACCTCCCCCGGTGACCTGTCTACCCAAGCTCTTGACCTTCTTCTCTGAGTTCCTAAAACACTTTCTATACTTCTTACACATTCTATCTCCCTTACATATTCACCAACGCAAAAATATTAACTGAGCAGGTGAAGGGTACTAAACTAGGACTTATCTACTACACTATAATGTTAAATAGGTTTTGACCAAACTAACAATTCCTTGAAGCCAAGTATCGCTGCCATGCTAGTATTTGTTGATGGATGAAATTAACAATGTGAGTTCAACCATCCGTTAGACGTAGACCGTGGATTTATTTTTAAGAGCAGAATGTACCGACTAGAGAATTTGATTTAAAACCTTTAAGTCAATAGTGTACACATAACTTCCTTTTAGGAACTGGCAAGATAAATTATCTATTACGGCACAAGAAGTGCAGAGTTGAGAAACTGACATCAACAAAGTTTCGTATTTTAAAGGTTGGAAACCTAGATACTCCGTTCTTGTAACTCAAGTCAAAGGAACAAGCACAACTTGTTTACTGTGATCTCTCCCTACTGTGTTATGTCTAAATAGGCCTTAAAGAGCTGTTTAAAAATAACTAAGAGGGCCAGATTCTGGGAGAAAAACACATAGAACATATAGATGAATCTGTTTCCCTAAATTGGCTATTTAGTTTGGGCCGTGCTATTTCCAGCTTAAATTGGTTTCCTGCAATTTGTTAAGGCTGCCAAATACTTAGTTATCTCAGCGATGTACTTAACACAAATCGGCAAATCTTTCTTATTTTTCACAGTGACAAGAAATGTACAGAGAAACCGGCACAGTGAGGATAATAATAAAAGTGAGTTCATTTGTCTTTTTTCCAGATGCATCATTTTCATCTGGTTGCTAGTGGCTTAGGAAACCAACAAATAGCCTCCTAATATCATTTCCTGCCTGTTTTTTTCCTATTGATTTGGGGACAGAGTTTCTCCAACATCAGGCAGGGTCAAACACGAGAGGTCTGACCTCACTATAAGCCAGAAAAACCCAAGGTTTGGGGTGAAAATGAAGAAAATCAATATCCAACACTGGTTTTTAAAATCAAAAGATGCAAGATGTTAATGAAAAGGTCAGTGTATAACTATGTGCAATAGTATCCCCTTAAGACAGCCTAAAAAAATTCCTTGGTGTAAAATCAAATCAACGTAGCTGGGATAACACATTAACACAGCGAAGAATTTGAGGCATTGAGGACACAGTTAAGTTTAGAGCACATTCATTTATTAAAGTGGCATTACAATCTGCTGTGTGTCACATATTATATTATTTTGCCTGAACAGCTTTACATGCAAATACTTATTGCAACAATTCATTGATCTGGTTCAAGGTTTGGCAAAAAAAGTTTCAGTAAAGTTTTTAGAGGAACTTACTTTCTTAGAGCATAAATTATATTCTCGAAACTATATACGTAACACAACTTAGTTCCTGTATACAGAAATCCAAGGGCTCTCATTCCATCAAATATGCTGCTTTATATTCACACATATGAAGAGCCTAGGGCTGGTATGAATTAGATTCCTATGAGGATGAAGGCATTTTAATGAATATTAAAAATTTAACTCACATTTAATATAATTTACTTGACACTGAAAAGTGTAGAAAAGGCTGGTGACATTTTATCAATAAATTTTTATAGACTTAAAAAATTATTTCATAACACATCTAAGTTATAAATCGTAAGAAATCTATTACTGAGTATTAACTCAGTAATTGTATTGCATTCTTAACCTAAGGGCAAGATCATTTCAAAATAGCTTGTCAGATCTTGGTTCTTTTCTTGAGTTGGGTTGGAACAGGTGAGAGAAATGTTCTACTTAGGGGGCCGTATCATGTACCACATCATGGTACAAAACAAGCAAGTATTTGTGTGGAACATGAGGGCACAGGTGTACCCCAGTTACTCGGGAGTCCAGAGAATCCATACCTCCAATACACCCGTAACACACAGGTCAGGAAGCTCTTCTATAGACTGCGGTGAAGATAGCACACCCCAGGGACATATTCCCTGAAGTGTCCATTCACTCACAATCCTGGGGGAGGAGCTGGGAGGTGGGAAAGGCGGGCAACAAGATTCACAAACACACAGCACCATCGACCTCATTAAAATCATCTGATGGACCTCCCAAAGCCACACCCTGACATATTCTAGACTAGACTGTGCAACAGAACTTTGTGCAATGATGAAAGTGTCCTGTATCTGCACTGTCCGACAAGATAGCCACTAGCTGCATGGGGTTACTGCGCACTGAAATACGACGAATGCAACTGAGGAGCTAAAATGTCAATTTTACTTCATTTTAATTAATTTTAATTTAACTCTTCAAGCCACATGTGACTAGGGGCTACCATTTGGAGTTCAGTTCTAACCTGACCACCAAACCACGAGGTGGCGTTCCAAGAGTTTTCAGCGCCCAGGCTGGTCATGGACCAGTGTTCATCAGTCATGTCAAACCTAGAAATGGGAAGGGATGGATCCCTCAGCACAGCCAGGGCGCACCACAATGTCAGGTCATGCACCGCAGCCCAGACCATGAGCATTCATAGAAAGCCTTCCCACTCACACCCACTCTCTCAAAGTATCAGTTCAAGAAACCAACCCAAGAAGGAAAACACCTTCTCTCCTTCAACACATTACTGAATGAGAACCAACATGGGGAAAAGCTAGAAGAAGCAACAATTGCTAATAAATAGAAGGTTCTTTCCTAAACTCAAGCAGCACATCACTAGAAGGGATCTCTTTCCCTCCAACTAGATTCTGTCACTTTCCTTCCACAAAAATTAGCAAGGTGTCCTGCAGATTATAATAAAACAGAGTGGCTCACAGTCAAACAGGATAGAATTCAACTGCTGCCTCCTTTGCTTACCAGCTTTGTGACTTTAGGCAAGAAAATTAATCAGGTCAAGTTTCAGTTTCCTTCTGTGTAAAATGGGCTGATAACAGTCCCTTCCTCACAGGATTATAAGGATCAAATGAGATTAAGACATATAAAGGATTCAGCAGAGTGCCAGACACACAAATGAAATTATTTAAGTACAAATGACATTAAGTATTATTTATCACTCTTCTTTATTTCTTGTCATCATCACCATTATCATCCTCTCTCCAACACAATAGGCAGAAAAGAAATCTACCTAAAACAAATCATATTTTAGATCAAACTCCAATTTAAAAAATATCCACACACCAAAAGTTATTTGTAAGCCAGAATACCTGATATACTTAATTTTAATATCGTCTAGGTTTCTCTTATGCTTCTATCTTTCTGATAGTCTTGTTATATACTTAGTTGTTTCTGCCCAAAAACCCCAAACTTTTTGAAAGATTTTTTTTTTCTGTTTCTGTACAGACCTTAATTATTTGCACAATAGTGGACATTCAACAAATGTCACCTGAATTAAATTTATAGAATTATATTCCAGAATGATCATGAGTAGCTACTTTCAAAATGTATAATGGGGGTGCCCAGGTGGCTTAGTTGGTTAAGCGTCCGAGTCTTGATTTTGGCTCAGGTCATGATCTCAATGTCGTGAGATCAAGCCCCATGTCAGGCTCCATGCTGGACGTGGAGCCTGCTTGAGATTCTCTCCCTGCCCCTCCATTCCCCCACTCTCACACACACACGTGCTCTCTCTCTTAAAAAAAAATATATATATATAGGGGCACCTGGGTGGCTCAGATGTTTAAGCATTTGCCTTCAGCTCAGGTCATGATCCCAGGGTCCTGGGATCAAGCCCCACATCGGGCTCTCTGCTCAGCGGGGAGTCTGCTTCTCCCTCTCCCTCTGTCACTTCCTCTGCTCATGCTCTCTCTCTCTAACCTAAAAATAAATAAAATCTTTAAAAAATATATATGTGTATGTGTGTGTGTGTGTGTGTGTATAAAATGGCATCTGCCCTAAAGTAACTCAACACTAAGCACTAAGAACTATCCTAGAAGCTGGGAATTCTGCTGTGAACAAACAGACAAGGAACAAGGTCCCTGGAGCTTATCTTCTAATGGAGATGGCAGCCACTGTGCATAAGTAAAAGAAGGGTCGTAGGAGATGATAAATGATGAGATAAAAAACAAAAAGGGTCCAGTCATGGTGTGCCTCCTCAGAGGCCAAGGAAAGCTGTTCAAATTATATTCCGTGTACCATGGAGAACCACCACTGGGATGTGACATGGACTGATTAATTTTTTTCTCCAAGATTGCTAAGGCCTCTGTGTGCGTGGCAAAGTGTAAGGGGATGAGAGAGGAAATAGGGAGCCAATTACAAGGCTCCTAAGAAGGCAAGGTGAGAGCCACTGGTTGTCTGGATCAGGGCTGCAGCCACAAAGACAGATGTGAAAGGGTCATACTCAGATGTGTTGTGGAGACAGACAGGACAGAACTGGCTTATGGCCTAATGTAGGGAGTAAGGAAAGGATGGGGCCCAGGTATGGGGCTTGACCACCTGTGCCATTTACTGGGAAAGACAGAGAAAAGCAAGTCTGGGGAAGAATAGAAAGGCTTGTTTTTGGAGATGTTAAGTTGAAGATCTGAAAGTGGAGATTTCAAGTAGGCAGCTGCCTAAGTTTTGTTTCAGAGAGAGGTCAGGGCTAGCAATACAATTGTAGGAGTCACAGGCATCTATATTACCATTCAAAAGCCATACAACAGGATGAGATTACTTAGTGGAATTGAGCAAAGACAACTAGGCTGAAGATGCCAGTAAGGTGGGAGGAAAACCAAGAGTGTGGTCCAGAAGCCAAAGAAAGGATTTCCAGCAAGGAGGAAGTGGTCAACGTTAATGAACGGTGAACCCCTCTTAATGCTCCCACTGAAAAAGGAGTTTCATAAGAGCAAGAACTACTTGTTATTCATTACTTCTTACTCAACTATTTGAGTAAGAAGTCCCTTCCTCACAGGGTTAGTCCTCTGCTTTAAACATATCAGAAGCTCAATTCATGGTTACAAGTAATGATGAGTAAGGTCACAACTGTCCCCAAGTGAATGGCATTTGGGCAGCATCCCATCTTTCTCAATGTATTTCAGTCTGGAGGCAGATTTACCACACAATACCCTTTCTAGTAAGTACAGAAACTACTTAGTCCAAGATAAATCGTCTTGATTATTTTCTCATACCATTTCTCCAATAAACAGCATGTCCATCCATCAAACTGGCCAGGAACAAGAACAGTACCAGACACATAGCAGGTGCTCAATAAATATTTGTTGGATGAATAAATGGATGGGGTAGGAGAGAGCAAAGAAAAGAGAGATAGCCTCTTATCCCATGGGATCCACAAATAAAATGAGGCTTAATAATTCTCTGTAAATGTCATTTAACATCTTATTTTCATCAATAATTAAGACTGAGAAGAAATAAACTGTTTATAAACTTAGAAGAAATCTATTAGAAAATAAAAGCATTGGTGATGTTCACAATTTGCAAATAGTAAATCAATTATTTTCTAAGTTCAATATTTTATTATAAATATTTGCTCCTTAATCTCTAATATTCCTACAAGTAGTCCATTTTACACAAAAGATATGAAGTAACCTGCCAAAGCTTAATAGAGGGTTCAGAAGCTGGATCAGAAAAAAAAATTCTCCCAAGACTGCTTGATAGTCAATTCATTCTCTTTTTTGTGCAAAATGTTTTAAAAGAAACTGTGGTACTAATTTCTAATATTCCATATAAAAAGCCAAACACCCAAAACACAACAGACAGAAAGAAGTGCAAAAGAACTTGACTATCAAGTAAACTTTTATCACTTACAGTTTTCCTACTAAAAATTCTGAAATTAAAATTTTGAAAACCTGAGGCACCATACACACCAGAATGCCGCTGAGACTTCGAACCAGATGGGGAGGTTTCCTTCATACGATCAATCACATTTTCCGAAAGCTGAAAAGGCAACATCAAAATAAAATCAATTATGAAAAACAAGAAAGAAAATAGTACGATAGCATCCAAGTAATGTAGTCATCTACATCAACATGTATAATAAATGGCCTAAAGAAACCTAATTGCTATAAAACTAAAAGGAAGAACAGTTTTAAGATTTCAAGATGCACCCCACAGCACTACTTCTTTATTTCTTCTAATGCACTGCTAACTGCTCATTATAAATAACTTCTCTCCTCGTTTTGTACAATGCGCTAAATTGTAATCTATGAGAAAATGTAAGACAAGAAAACTCCTTCGACTTTCCTCCCCTAATCCTACAAATTAATTTTGCAAACAACAGGTCTTAGCTCCTTCCTTCCCTCCCGTCCCAAAGGAAATGGTATCCTTCCCTCCCTCCTGTTCAAGCTAATCACAAACAACTGCTCTTTCAACAGATTTTATTATGCACCAAATCTCTGCCAGGAACTAGGCTAGACTTAGGGTATTCAATAATCATCGAGTTGCTTAAAGTGGAGTAGAAGAAACAATCATCAGGCAGCGAAATGTAATGAGAAGGGCACCACCTAAGTCAGCTGGCCTGGAATGGAAGTATACAGAAAGCATAATGAATAGGACATCTAGCCAGGGTTTGGGGCTGGGGCTGGAAAAGATAAACAGGTGTTAGGAAGAGAAGACGTAGCATAACAGTACTCCAAGAAGAGGGAAACACACGGCGGTATAGATGAGAAACAAGGCTTGCCACCATCAGACACTAAACACAGATAACAAGTAGGCAGATGGCAATGAGGCGGAGGCTCTGAGAGTCCTCAGCCCCTGAGTTACTATCATACCATTCTTTTTATTTTCTTTATTGCACTCACCACTATGTGAGGCATTCTTGTGTGTCTGCCTTTTACACTCAAAAGGAAGCTCCATGAAAGCTAGCATTTGGCTGTCCTATTATGTCCCCAGAGCCTCAATAAGACTGGTTAATTGGATGAATGGCTAAATAAAAGACTGAAACAATATGAATGAATGGAAGAATGACTGAAGCGGGAAGCTGGAGAGGGGGAGAGGGAAACAGTGAAATAAGATTTTAGATTCCGAAGATTTGAACTGATTCTGAGGGCAACTGGGCACTTCTGAAGGATTTTAAGCAGGGCAGTGACAAGATCAGACTTACATTTTAGAAAGATCACTCTAGCTACAATGCAGAGAACAGACTGGAGGGGGACAAGAACAGAATCAGGAGGACCCCTGAAGGAAGCTAAAGGATCAATTAAGAAGCTATTAAACATATGTCCACACAAAGATTGGTGCAGAAATGTTTACGGGGCATTATTCATAATATAGCAGGAGTGAAACCAAGCAAATGTCCATCTACTGGTGAATGGATAAACAAAACATTATGTATCCAGACAATGGAATACAATTCAGCAATAAAAAGAAGTGAAGTTCTGATACATGCTATAATATGGACAGAGCTAAACAATTAAGGGAAGAAAGCCAGACACAAAAGGCTACATATTGTATAATTCCATTTATATGAAATGCCCAGAAAAGGCAACTCTGCATAGATAGAAAGTAGAGAGGTAGATGCCTAAGGCTAGAGTAGGAATGGGGATTAACTATAAATGGGCATGACAGATCTTACTGGTTTGATGGAAATGTTTTAAAACTGGATTGTGCTGATGGTTGCACAATTCAGTAAATTTATTAAAAAGTGTTGTACACAGAAACAGGTGAATTTATGTAAATTATACATATTTTAAAAAAAAACTATTATGGTAATCCAAAGGGAATACATTCAAAAGATATTTAGGATTCAAAATAGCTAACATTCACTGATTGCTTATTATGTGCCAGGCATTACACTAAACAAAACACTTTACTCATTTAATCCTTAACAATTATAGGAAATAGATACTTTTATTATCTCCACTGTATAGGTGAGAAGCTGAAGCACGGCAAGATTAAATAACCTGCTCTGGATTTTACATTTCATCAGTAACGGAGCCAGGATTCAAACCCAGGAAGTCTGAGACTCAAGGTCCCATTCAGGTACCCTGCTTTACTGCCAGACTCAGTGTCTGACTAGATGTGGAAGTGAAGCATAAGTCATCAGGACATCCGGGTTTCTGGGACATGTAACTGGATGATCCCTCTCCTCTATCTACAAAGACCTTCCCATTTCCACTTCCTTGACTCATCACCATCTAGCTTATAACCCAATACAGCGGTATCCTTGTAAAAGTCACCAATGACCAAATAACCTTTTATATTTATATTTATAAAACACCTAAGTTACATGGCTCCCTTTAGCATCTAACACCTTTGGTCACTGTCCTCTTCTGGAAACCCCTCCATTGGCTCTTCTGACCTCCCACTACTCTGACTGACCTAGGACTCTGGCCACATCTTCCCCTTCCCTGCCTACCCTTAAATGCTAGAGGGCCCCACATTCGCTTCTTTGCCTTTATTCTCTTCTCACTCTAAGTGCTCTCGTTGGTCATCTCATCCACTCCCTTGACTTTTTTCTTTTTTCTTTATTATGTTATGTTAATCATCATACATTACATCATTAGTTTTTGATTTGGTGTTCCATGATTCATTCTTTGTGTATAACACCCAGTGCTCCATGCAGAATGTGCCCTCTTTAATACCCATCACCAGGCTAACCCATCCTCCCAAGCCCCTCCCCTCTAGAACCCTCAGTTCGTTTTTCAGAGTCCATCGTCTCTCATGGTTCATCTCCCCCTCCGATTTCCCCCCCTCCTGCTATCTTCTTCCTTTTTATATATTTTTAACATATAATGTATTATTTGTTTCAGAGGTACAATCTGTGATTCAACAGTCTTGCACACTTCACAGCACTCACCATAGCACATACCCTCCCCAATGTCTATCACCCAGCCGCCCCATCCCTCCCACCCACCCACTCCGTTGACTTTTAACTGCGGTTGATAAATTAATGCATTCTAAATCCTTTATCTCCAGCCCAAGACCTGTGTTTCAAAAGCTAGATCTATACACTGAATTGCCTAAAGGACACCTTCTCTTGGACAGACCACAAGCACCTCAAACCCAACATGTCCTAAATTGAATTCGTGTTTGCCAAAATCTCTTCTTCTTGCTTTCCTTATCTCATTAATGACACCACCTCCACCCAGCTTTCTAAATTAAAACATAGGACTTGACCCTGACTCTTCGTTCTCCCTCTTTCTTTTTGCTATGAATTCCTCAACCCCTAAGTATTTAATGAACACATTTCTTCTCCCATCCCATTTCCCCTGCCCTAATTCAATAATCCTCCTAAAATGCAAATCTAATTATGGTAACTCCCTGCTTCAAAATCCTTCATACCTTCCGTTGACAAAGAAGTCCAAATTCTTCTGCACAGCACTCAAGACTTCCTCGTCATTTGGTCACAACCTAACTCTCCAACCTCAATTTCCATAGACTTTGCTTTAATACTTCATACCTTGTTCTCTACCCATACCGGCTACTTACTGGATGCCGTCTCTTTGCCTTTACACATGACTACACTGCCTTCTCCCCTGGCCCCGTGGGAAGGAATCACCTTTCAAATCCAGTTCAAACATCCTAAAGCCTTCTCTGACCAAATCAGTTCCCCACTCCATTCCAAGTCCGCCTACCCAAGGCTACCCTTATTTGTGCCCCACCATATCCTGCACAAATCTCCCTACATGGCACTCCATGACAGAACAAGTATTTGCCTTTCCACAAAACTGTGAGCTCCTGTATATTACTGAATCATTCACTAAATGTTTACTCGGCCAAGCACTAATTAAGGCCCTTGTGATACATGAGTGAACAAAACAGTTTGTACCTGAGCAGTTACTTACATCTCAGGACCCAAACCAGAATGCAGGGGAGACAGTTAATGGAAAGACTACAGCTCAAAAGCTGGGGTCTTTGGAGGAAAATCCCAAGACGACTCTTGGAAGAGAAATGGAAGTTAGAAAGGACAACGTCAAGGGACTTTGTATTTGAAGATGTCAGGGCCAGTTGCTTCTTTTCTAACAACAGACAGCCACTGACACTGCTGCTGAAACTCATCTGTGAAGCTGAGATCTATCTTAGGAAAAAACCCTTTAAGATTGACCACAATCCTCTCAATTTATAGGTGAGGAAAAAAGTCCTGAGTAACATCCATTTTCTGGTAGCATCAGGATAAGCAGCAACCCCCAATCTCTAGTCCAGTGCTTTCTCTGCTAAACAATACAGCCCTACAATCCTATGTAAAAATAAATTCACTTCCTCTTAAGGAGATAAAAATGAGCCTTCTAAGTTTTAGAATCTTAAAGCTATTTTAATTGATACATAATGTATATAAAGCTCATTCGATATATAATGTAATATACTACATATTATATGTATTTATAGGCTATTTTAATATAGTATTCTATGCAGGAGAACTGTGGCATAGACTTAATATATTTTAATAGGTTTGCAATGTAATTTAAAATAACTTAGTAATTAAGATATTTGGTGTTATGTGATGGGCTATTCATTGGTCTGGCTAAAGAGAGAATGGGTCTAGTAAAGTTTGGGAAGTTGAGCTTTAACATGGTCTTTGTGTTTTTTCTTATAGGAAAGGATTAGTTTAGCTGTGCTATTTTAGTTCATATCAGTTTTCTTGATATATAGAAAATTCAATATATCACTGAGATATTCCCCCAGAACCACAGAATCCTACCATATGAAAATTGGAAGGAATCTTAGCAATTATCTATTCTAATCTCTGTTTTAAAGATGAAACTACGGTACAAAGAAGTTAAGTGACATGCCTGTGATAGCTAGTTGGTAGTAATGAACTGTGAAAACTTAAAAAAAATAATAATATAGTATTCTATAAGATACTATGTATATTATATACTACATATCATATACTACCATATATACCATGTATTATATACTATTATATACAATATATTGTATATGTTACATATTTAATATAATTTGTTTAGGGCTAAACTATATAAAGTTAATTTCAC